ATGCAATTAGAAGAGTTTATTGATATGATAGTTTGAACTTTGGCGCTCAGGCCTCGGCAGGAAACATAAACGCTGATTTATACTTTAATGCAGATAAACTGATGTATGAGAATAAGGATATTCCCCCCGGGCCTGAAACTGGTGGTGGAGTTTAGATAGATGAGGTTTGGTTAATCCATAGAGGCTGGTATACAGGGTGATGCTTGAGTTAGATGTCACTGAATGAACAAAGTTTGAAGAGCAAGCATGAAGAGACTGTGGAGAGAAAAAACTCCCCTTTGGGAAGAAATCTCTGGCAGAACCAGGCTCAACGTGGCGGTCTTCTGCCGGACCGTTTAAAGTGACAGGGAACTCCATGAAAGTCTGGAGGGACTACACACTGGAGGTGAGGTTGAAGGAACATCGAGGAGGAGTCGGATGAGCTTACTACAATGGTGGAGAAGGGGATGGAGGTGGGTTGTCTGAATCAAAGTCTGACATAGGAGCGATGGATCTTGCGCTTGTTGAAGAGCAGGCCTAGAGATGATTTGGAGTGGCTTTAAGTAGAGTGCTAGAAGATGATTGGGCATCGAGGAAAGTGGCTTGAAGCGGGTTGGCTGCGTCGGAGGCGGATCAGCCTCAGATTGGATGGAAGTAATCAGAGTTTCTTCAGTTGAATTTGCGCCTTAGCTTCATAACTCAGTGCATTAAATATATCTTAGTAGGTTTACAAGTTATAGATTCAATTTAGAATGCTCAAACATTTCTGTCTTTTTCTATTAATTTTGAGAGGAGATAAGGGATTTAAACCCTTTTAAAAATATTACTCCAAATTAACTTTGCACCTAATATGGTGCATTAATTTACCCTAGCAGTGCAGCACTACTAATGCCAGCCAGAAATTTACAGCCAATTTTCACATACTTTTGCTTTTATTTAATTTAATGCGCTTCAAATTCAAATAATGTTCAATTTGTTTTGCAGTTTTGAAACATTTTTTTATAAAACTTTAACATACTCAGATTGACATGAAATGCAGAGTGAAATGTTAACTATAAATTTGGTACAATTTATGAAGGCTGATACCTAAAAGTGTGCATCGTGAGCCAGGGTCAGTCTGCCATCACTTATCAGAGCCTCAAGCGGTCCTGCCTCATGTTGGCCGTTACACTCCTCTGCCTCCAGACATTCGATAGCCACATAAACAAGAGACACACACTTTCTCTTTACACACATGTACAGCCGGCAGCCAACTGCCCATGACATGAACACTACCGCGGGCTCACTGGGCGCCACTTAAAGGCTCCCACTTTGAAACTGACACTCCACTTGGCAGTGGCGCCAAACAAAAGACAGTGTGTGTGTAGTTGTGTGCAAGTCTGTGTGTCACACAGAATGCCTATGTATGTCAGAAAATGTCCAAACAAAAGCCACTCCAACCTCTGCCAACTCTTCTCCACCTTGATCTTCCTTGTATTTGTCCCACAGGAAACTTTTTCCCAAACACGACACTGTGAGTTCTGACATCTATTTTTGAAGTTTGTCCACTTCGCCCTGAGACACGACCTTTCCACTCTCTTTCATCTGCCAAATGTGAGTGTGTATGTGTGCAAACGCGTCTGGCTGGAAAAGGTAAGGAGGTGCGCTCTGATGACACAGTTAAATCTAGCATGTCACCACATTCATGGCAAATTACCAGGCATGCTTTTAGAGCCAACTTCTTCTGGCAGATGCAAAAACAAGGACGCCTCGCCCTGTAGGTGAATGTAATAATAGAAAGAGTATGGCTGCAAAGCCAAATTAGGTCATCACACTGGGTCTGCCAGGATAATGTTAGAATCTACAGCAGCAAGTGTGAACAACACATAAGTCTTTTTGTTGTACTTTTTTTTTTACCAGTGAAACTTCATCAGAAGAAGGTCTAAGAGGCTGAACACATTCAAAGACATTCAAATTGATTTATTAGATACTTTACATGTACATTCTTGGGGAAATAGTAGTCTTTTTAATTTCCTATGTAAATAAGGTAACCATAATTTTCCATGTGGTTTCATATTGGAGGATATTTTTAATCTATTCATCATATATTTATTGTATTTATTAAGTTAAGGTTAGCTCGTTTTGATGATGACAACATTTTGAATAAATTATTTGGGGACATACTAAGTTACAGATCATGACTTATATTAAGCTACTTTATATATATTTTTATCTTTTACAAAGGTAAGACTAATTTCATAAAGTCTGCTGATCTAAAAGCAAATTAGCAAATAAAGAAAATGTTGTGTTGACATTTTTTTAACAAGTAAAATGGTTTTTTGTGGAGTTTTTCAATTACTTGTAACATTATAATTTAATATATTATACTTTATAATATATTATATTTCAGCTTAAAAAGCCACTTTAGATTATACTTTTTAAAAATTAAATCTATTTCCAAATAGTATAATTAACCTTGTGTTTATTCAAATCTGCAGATACGATATCTGCCATTGGGATTTCAAATAATACATATTTGAAATGTGCTCATGTGATTTGTGAATGATGTAAAACAAACCTGAAACAAGTAAATGGTTAATCAAACTTTCCATGGCAAAGTTTTGCTATATTTCTTTCCAGTTTTCCAGAGATGGTAATTAGCACCCCATAGCAGTGACCTAAGGGTACACATAAACTATGTCTTAATTGGTTTATCACAGTTCACCACATTTTATCCAAATATACTTATTACGTAAACATTAGAATGTCAACAACAGTAAATATAAAAAGAAATTCTTAGTTAACAACAGAAGATAGATAAACAATGCAAAAGTGACAGAATTATTGTATCTGATCGTGAAAAATATTCATGATGTCTTCCCTTTTGTCTTCTTCAAATAATTTACTAGAGCTGAAGAAAAATCCAATAACTTGGACATCTTATAAGGAGCACAACCTCAAAGATCTTTGAGCACATTCCTTTTACTTTCTGTTCTGAATGAAAACATGAACCTTGATGTAAACAGGAGACATAAAGTGATCTCCAGCTAAACAAACAACCAACAAAACAGTGATTGTATATTTTAAAAAAAATCACCTCTTCTTTAGAACCTATGAGAAAATTATGCAAATGCCAAAAACGTAATGGCAACATTATAATTTTCTTCAGGTAGTTTTGAAGTTAATACCTTGTAGTCAAATGTCGAGAATGTCCAACTATTGGAGCTTAAGCTAAAATTCAGACTGGAAGATTTAATTCCGGCTCTCAAAGCATATGTGCTCTGATGCTTCGCTGCTGCAAGCCTATCAGGACTGCACATGCCTCCACCATGGCCAATCATCATCCAGGAGTCTGCTTTTAAAAAGGACTGTTCTGCCAACAACTGTCTACTCTATCAAGCTGCAGCCTTCCTCTACCCCATCTCCACCATCAGTTTTACCTGGCTCCCCTTTGGCTTTGGCTGTCTGCTCAATTATATCAGCATCATTCTCCATGCTTACGACCGAGACATTAGCGCCAAAGGCTATATTTCTTATTTCAATAAACTCTCTAATTGTTGCTTGTCTTCTTTGTTCTTTTGAGGTTGAAATGGAAGAGATTTCAGTTTAAAATGTGTGAAAAATCAAATGTATTGTCCTGGATTTATTGGTGTATATAAAGTCCCACAAACCTCTGTTTTAATTTTCTTAAGCAACTTAGGTTAAAATAATGCAGGTTTTGTAGCTATCTACGAGCTTATGTACACTTACTTCTTACCAAGGTGAATAAAATGTATTTAGATTAGTAGATCAGCTTTTAAGCCTCAAGATTTTGTTCAGAGCTATAGGAAAACCATCTAAAACCAGGGAGCCAATTTAAGTGAAGGCTTTTGATTGCTGTCCTGCAGGAAAACGCAACTCTCTAACTTTAGCCATCTAATTATTTATGTATGGTTAAATGATTTGTTGTTCTTCCATAGCATGATGCTACCACCACTAGCCGTGGTATTTGGTCTAGCGTTCTTAGGTTTAAAATCCTTGATTCCTTCCAACATGCTTCTTCTCATCATGTTATCCATAGGAAGTCAGCTTTATCTTCCTTTAATCAATCACCTAAAATAAACCCAGTATTTCATTCTTTGCCCTTTCTTTCTGCATGCTCTTGACATTTGTAAAATATCTGATACCACTCTGCAGCCATTTATAACCCATACAGTATCCACACACAGCCAGTCACACAATGGTGGGAGACAGCTGTTCGGGAGATCATGACACAGTGGCATGTGGCATCTAGTGGGCCGGCATGTTAACACCTGTTTACAACATTTACAGCAGGGACAGAGAGTCGGACACTGCACAATCAGGGGGCGGATGAAGATATTCGTCCGGCTACCGGCAAAAGGCATATTTGTTGCTTGGCTGGGGAAGAGAACGCCATGCGGCACATTATAGTGAAATCTTTCATGTGTAAGAAGCCATCAGTGGAAAGCCACTCAGGCAAACTGGGCAAACATGCTTTGCTAATCCAAAGGCAGCAGTGTGTCCTTGGGAACATAGAGCACATATGTGAGTCTAAAAAAATCACATGAAAATGTTCACTGTACTGTAGGTGAAGCTTTTTTTTAATAGTTATTCCAGTTACTTTGTTTGTATTTCTACAGATTTATTGGCTGCTACTCATGAAGGTTAGAGTCTGTTTTCATTGTCATCAACATAAATGTCATACTCAGTCTTTTAAAGTACCTTTGTGGACTGAGGGACAAACTTGTTAAGATGAAGAGCTCTCTTGTTCACATATACATCCACATGTTCGTGAATAAATCCATATGTAGAGTCATACTCAAACATACACAAGCAGGTCACACTGCTCAGTACTCAAATGTCATGGAGGGAGGAACGGTGGCTGCTTTCAAGTCCCTCACTCTGGCCCCCACCGCCTGTCAAAAATGAAACTTCAAAGCGGCCATCCAATCGCCACCGACACCATCCCTCCCGCTGCCAATCCTCCATGACACATGTCTTACCCCTCGCGGGTAAACACAGACATAGAAGTAGAGAAAGTGAAGATGGAGGAATAAAAAGGGGGAGGAATGGAAAGCTGGCGACAGAGACAGGGATCTCACACTGTCGACACACAGAAAGACAACGTTGATTGCTTTGAGGCAATCTGCCGGCCAACCTTGACATTTCCCCGGCGCTTGGTCAAGATCATCGTTGTGAGTCAGGCCGACTGGAGACAGAAACAAGAGCAAACACGAGCCCTGAAAGAAGGGGTGAGGGAATGCAGGGGTGAGGAAGGTGAGGAAATGCAAGTTGACACTACAGCTCTGCAAGACAGTGGCAGTCAGTGGTATACAGACAATGGAAGCTGGAAGATTCTTTGGGTCCTGCAAAAGAAGTAATGATTGCTGATTAAAGGCCATTGCTAATAGTTGATTGGTAATTTTTACCTTCGTTCTTTTCTGATAATAGCTCACATAGAGACACCAGGACCCTCTACTACCTACCTATTTTTTAACAGAGCTTTATTGATTTTAATAATAAACTAATACATTTAATATCCCTTTGGTATAAATAAAGTATTTTTGAACTGAACACTTTTCTTGCCAAACACATTAGTTATTACTTCTGGTGAGTGACATCTATATTCTCCTTCTGCACATGTGGGTTGATTTGGTGTCTGAAGACAATGGTATTTATTAGTATTATAAAGGGACTCATCAAAAGGAATTGAAACATAATTATTGAGGTAGTGATGGGACTGGTAGTTCTTTTCTGTGAACTAATTGAAAATGTTTTGTTCTAAAAAAGTATTCACCAGTTTTGGTTTTACAGTTGAAATGTGCAATAAACACATTTAGTGGCAGTCACATTTAGTGTTCTTTTTAATTAGTTTTAACTGGATTTTCTTGTCCTTTACATTTATAATAAACCCATGGCTTTAGTAGTATTACTTCTACTTATTAACTTTAGAAGACTTTTAAGTTCTATAACATTTAATAGACAATAAAGATGAAACAGACTTTTTTCTCTCTTTTTGAAGTGGTGACCATGTGTTCATTGACTTTTAGTTCTGTTACTTATGAAAAATATCTATTTCCAGATTATGCCCTAAAAAATGTGTTGCTGCTCCTGATTTAGTCACAGTACAAGCAAATCACAGCCTGATTCATTCAGTAACCGAGTCAGTGACTGAATTATCCGTAACTTATGAATCACTCACAGATTCTTACACCACAGCACCATTTCCGTACAGTATGGATGGATGAATTTATCCATGGCAACATTATGTTATGTTGGTTTTGGCTGAAACCTTGAAGGTATTCCAGCCCTAACTTTAGCTGTAAGATTGGAGTATGAATGAGTTCCCATCCCAATCGGTTTGCATTGATGTTAACTAAACTGAGAAAGTTGTTAATTTGAACAACTTATTACGTATTTAGGCCTAACACTAAACTGAGCATCAACACCCTCTATTTGAACTCAGCCATAGTTCCATGCAAGCTTTATCACCTTCATGCAAGTTTCTTTTTTTTCTACATTTTCCAGCAGCACCAGCCTTGGCAGAACCTGATAAATCTCAGCCAAATGATGGGGAAATGTCCTGCATGAAAGAATGACAGCTTTAAGGGAAATAACGTTTGGGAAATATTTAAAGCATTTAGGTGTTATTAAATAGCTACATTTCAATTCTCTAATACCCCTTTGTGTTAAACGAAATCATGTGAAAACTGGATGTTTTGTGACACACAAGGATTCTTTCCTGACATGTCAACTTGAAACTAATATCAAGATCATCTGAAAAAAAAAACAAGGACCCAGGGACTGGTTTAAGTTTACGCACATTTTTGCACACTCACACACATAAACCTACTGAATTCTAATCAGAGGCTGTGCTAAGCGGTAACTCTTGCTTCCGTTATTGATTGTCCGCCCAAGTTTGTTTGTCTGTGGGTGCCTGTGGGAACCCCCCTGGAGTCCAGGGAGTCAATGAGAATGTAGCTCTGAAAGACTATCAGCCCAGCAGCAGCAATTAGCCCTGAGACTCAGAGCAGCATGTCGCTGATGGTCAGTACAAGCGCCTCAGACACACAGAAAGGAAAGCACACGAGACAAAGCGGGTGTGAAGAAAGCCTCTCCTCATTAAAGAGCGGAAACAGAGGCCCCTGACAGGTACAGGAGAAAAGGAGAAATAAAAACAGCAGGCTGCCACTTTAAATACATAATACCTGGATCTGATTTTGTGTGGGTTGCTGTAACACATGCAGTTGGAAAAATCTGTATTTGTGCAAATACAAACGAGTGGCTTCAAACCTAGCCCACAGTTTTAGGCTAGGTTGCCAGTTAGGTGTGAGTCATTTACAAATGTTGGGGGTGAAATCAGAAGAAGGATGTGTAGAAAGTGAGGTGAGGATGAGGGCTATGGAAAGAGGGAGGGAGAGAAGAGGGAGTTTGCTTTTGCTTTATTGTTTTAGGATGCTCCTTTGGTAAACGCTGTAAGCTCGATCAAATTTGATTTGCAGAAACAAAGTGACCTTCTCAGGATGAAGCTAACGTTGACTGTTTGCCTGTGGGTGGATAACTCACCACGGTGTCACATCAAAAACTGATGATACTTGTAAAGATATGTTGCAGTGCTGTAAAAATGATCTAATAATGAGAAAAGTTTATTTAAAATACATGTATTTGCCCTTAACTTAACAAGTAAACACAATCATTTGCAAAGAGAATAATTGCAGAACTTTGATATTTTGTTAAGACAATGAAAATATATATATTTTTGTGATCATTCACCTACCTAAATCAAATGGAAAATGATTTCAAGAAACATTTGCTTACTTTTAGTTCAATTTTTCCAGTGAATTTACACACCTCTATTAAAATGCATTTTTTTCCTAATCATCATAGTGAGACCAGTCACACCTACATAACAGCATTAAAGCTTCACAAAAAGAAAATGAATCGTTTGGATTGGTCAAGTGAGAGTCCTCCCAGTGGTCTGTGAAAAGATCCCCTCACAATTTTTAAGAAAAAAAAAAACAACAGAGAGAAATTAATATTGTTTCCAAGACTGTTGCTGCTGATTGATCCCACATGACACAGAATACTGGAATTGAATAAAAAAGTGGTTCATCAAAGCATTATTGAAAGGGTGTGCACACTTCTGCATCCAGGTGATTACAGCTTTGTTTCCCAGCTAGATTTCACAGCATAAAATGCCCCATTAAAGATGGAGTTTTATTTTCCACAGTATTGTGAGTAATTGTTCCAGTTTTTACATCCTGAACCAGCAAGAATGCTGTTTATAATTAGTGACCTGGGCATGCTGTAAATTGCTGAAATATATATAAAAAAAAAAAGATATTTTTATATGCTTTGAATTTTACTCAGGAGTGCCTACTGAAATCCCTGTTGTTTTAAATTCATGTTACAGATGACTCTAAATAAAAAACAATAAATAACTTTGCCCTTATGGTTTATCCATATGAGGTTGGAAACAGGAGGACTAATACCTAAAGGCTTAAAATATATATATAGGTATTGGAAGATGTTTAAAGTCAGAAACTTGGATCAAATTGTTCACAAAAGACGATCGTAACAGTTGTCCTGATTTCAGGAGACATATAGATAGAAGTTTAAGAAATATCTGTCAAATATTAATTTAAAGATGTATTATTACAAACAATCTAACGTTACATTAAGAAGTAATCAATATAGTAAAAAATTATGGCTAAATTGCTGTACTTTTAAAGGAACCCCTCTACCTATTTATTATTAAAAATAAATATTTTGTGAAAATGTTCCACATCTCCACCGCACAGCCCTCTCACTTGTCATAGCAAACTGAGTTGCATCCTGGTAATTTATTCACACTAATCCAGCCTTGTTCCCAACTGTGCAACAGGTGTATGGCACAACTAAGTACACAACATTTCCAAAAATCTGTCACAAGGCTTCATTCGCTCACCGTAGAACCCACTCAGAGGGAGAAAAGGGACAAAAAAAAGTAAAACATAATATGTTGAGAATATTTTGACTTTCTTGGAGGTCATGAAAAGAGGAGCAAGATGCAAATAGGCAAATGATAAGTGAAGGGAAAAGGAGAGAGTCACTCTCGCTATCTCCCCTGACAGCTGTTTCCATCTAACAAGCATGCAAGTATACTCAATTCAAAGCGCTGGTAGCAGAGAGCATGGTGTCAATTGAAATGATACCTAACACATGCAGGATGAAACAATTTTGCGGCTTCAAAGATAGTTCAAAACACGGACAGAGAGAGTTATGAATTTGATGTGAACACACACACAGGGAAACATCTGACCGCACATACACGCAGAGATAAAAAGAATCTTATTTAGATACACAGACAGGGCATGCAGCCTCAAATGTTTTGCAGAGGATTAAATGCAGTAGGGTGTTATTAGGGTGACTCACATTAAAAAGAATAATTGAAAGAGTGACCCTGTGGACAGTGTTTCTATTGAAGTTTGGCTTCCATTAATGCAACGAAAAATCCAATGCATGCTATTAATCGCACATGTGAGGAGTTTTATGATGCAGCCAGATCCAATTAAAATAACACTTTCAAGTTGCATAGCAAAGGTCTATTATAAGGCTTGTGACAATTTAGCAACGGATGCTAATAAAGTCCAAATTATCTTCTTCGGTTCAAACTCTTTTTAATTTTTTTCAAATGTATTCCTATGTGTTCCTTCTTTAGCAACACTAGCTTGCTCAGTATCATTACCAAGTTTCTCCGGAGTTTTCTTGTTTACATAAGGAACAAAAATTTAATTTGTTATTGCTTTCCCACTGAGAACCCATCATAATTATACTTCTTTAAAAAAGAAAAAGCTAATTAAATTCACATGCACTTTCAAAAAAATTCCAAAGTTAGTAGAATAACAGAAGTGGCTTCGTATATCTGACCAACCTGCTGCATGGTAAGCAGGTCATGCAATGCTTAGTTAAACTCTATAAACTGTGTGGTCTGGACTATACAGCACATGAACAGAAAAATTTTACCTTTGAACCTTTTCACATGTCATGAAACCTGTTAAGTGCAGCTTTTTTGAAAGACCTTTAGAAAGCAGTAAATGGCTGCGAGCCTAAAATAAAATAATAGTTCTCAAAGCTGATTACAAGTAAAGAGCTAAAAAGTGTGGCATGTAGGTTTAACTCTTATACAAACAAAACAATTCCCCCTTATTCTGAAGTCACCTAATTTGGAAACAGATTTTCTTTATTTTATATTTATATTTAGAATATTTCAATCCAACCGAATTTATTTTATTTTA